CCTCCGTATTTCGAATATGGCACTTTTGGAACCAACTGTGAATGTTCATATTATGTGTTCTAAATGACTGAGGTCGTTTTCAACCGAGAGCGCCTTGGTTGGGGAGTTGTAACGGTGGTGAGAGGACGGCCAAGTTGGGCTCACCCGATTTTTTGGCAATTTTCATCATATAACGACATGATCTTTTTGGGTTGAGGTCGTTGGGTTTCAAACAACCCCTGAAATAATGATTTTCTATCGAAGTAGACACCTTAGGACTTGTAAAATAGTCGTTGTCACTAACATCACCTCGAGGGGTCTCGGTCTACGAGGTCACATAACAGGCTGTGTACCTTGGGGCAGTGTGTAACATGAACGTCTGGGGTAGTCTAGGCCTGTACGAATCGTCTTATGTGCTTATCAATGATGTGTCTGTGCCCTAACAGTCTCACTGAGGCACAACTTTTTGTTTTTATTTCAAGTTCACAAAATATATCAAAAATAAGTACCAATTTGATGTTTTCAATTGAAAACTAGTAAATTTAAAGAAAATTTCATTTGAACAATAGAATAATTTGATTTAAACTGTTGTATCAGCAGCTACTATAGAAAGGAAGGGGAAGCTGTTTTCTCCCTTTCTACCCTTCTTCAGAGCTCAATCCTAGCCTTTGTTACACACTGCCCCGCGCCGGGGTTGTGTGTAACAAATGCAGACCGTTTTTCAACAAGCTGTAGGCCATACGGGAATGCGCCCAGTAATACATCCGAGCAACTTTCACGGTTAGTAAAGGTCCAATCTATTCTTTTGCGCCCTAATTGCCCAATTGTTTTCACGGATTGACTTTTACAGCCAAATTCCTAAATCTGTTACACAGTGCCCCACCCTCCCTTACGGTTCCCGACTCCGAACCGAAAGGTTCTGAGTTCGATTCTGACTGGCAGCCGCCTTCTGGTGCGCTCGGCCGTTGCATTTTCATTCTTTCTGCCACATGCTGCCTCGCGAATGTCTCCACGGTGCCTCCCGTATGTCTCGAAGCCGTCTCGGTTAGTGGCTTGCTAATGTCTCGACATCGTCTAGATGAGGGTGTCTCGGTAATGTTTCTAGAATGTCTTGTTTCCAGACTCGACTTAGACAACATAGAGACACAGACGATGCCTAAGCAGTGTCTAATTAGCGACTCGCGAGCATCTCGACAGCGTCTCATATAGGGTCTCTATTATGTCTCAAAATTGTACCCATCAAGCCTGAACACTGTCTCCGATGTGTCTCGGCTCGAGACATGCTAAAGTTCCTTTTTTCCGTACGGGGATGTTGACACCGGGTTTCTCAGAATGGATGTGTTTCAAATGAAAAAAGGAACCTCTTCTAAAGGTTTCAAGCCAAAACTTCAACCCTAAGGGTCCAAAATGGCCGATATTCGAAAATGAGTTGCACTCGTTACACTTTTGCGGGGGTAGTTTTGCCAAGCGTTGGCCGATTTGAAAAAAAAAAAAAACAAAGAAAAACACAGGGGTCGTGAACAAGGGACGTTCTTAGAGGATACCGAGCTGGTTTCGACGAACTACAAAACTCATTCCCTTGGGGTAGTTGGGGTGAGGGTAGAAGAAGGTGGGTTGGTCTAATCGCAATTTCGCTGCTACTGTTAGAAAGAGGGCAAAATTTTGACTTCCTGAGCACTTACAGTGTGCCAATTTTGAAGTTGTTACGGACGATTTTTTCATCCTCCTCCACTCTATGGGTTGCGCAGCTCGTAAGGGATGGCCTACGGCTTACGCACTACTTAAGCCTTAAGTTGAATGATTGGGACGCCTGCATGCCAAATCTTAGCTTCCTGACCCCCAAAACATAGCAACTACGTCAGTTTGAAAAATCCACCCGCTAATTTTGATAAGCAGTGTATTAACATGTTTTATCTTGATCGTCAACTCCTGTGCTACATGCGACCCGCACTCGCAGTCTGCGTTGCTGTCCACGGCCATCTATGGAACATTCTATCCGTCGCTGTCGCCAAAGGACACCCTTGTAGCCCGCATCCAGAATATGATTCTCCTGCGCACGCAGAGGCCCCTGTTCCTCACAGCAGGCCGTTATACAAACCTCACTCTCAATTTGTTCCAAGACGTAAGTCACGAACACCTAGTATTCCCCTAAACACGTTCCGGCGAAAGAGATTCAAATGAAACTCCGCTGGAAGGCAGGAGAGGGCGTTTCGTTTGCACTTGTAACTCCTATTTTCAGGCACTCAATACGCATTTTTAGCCCACTCTTCTGCTTTGTAAAAGCTATATAAGCGGGCTTGTTGTGCCGTCGCCCCTGTGGCTGTCCGTGTGTCCGTCTCTGTCAGTTCCCCAAGAACGACGTGAGCTAGAGGTCTAAAATTTTTAGGGTATCATTGGTGTCACTCCTGGACAACGAAACGGTTGGTGCAAATCCGGTTAACCACCCCTAAGGGAGGTATCAAAGAACAAGCAGGCCCGCCGTTGCACCAAACGGAGTTGCCAGATCCGCTTCGCTCCGCCGGCAACTCCGTTCGGACAGGGGCCGGGCCTGCTTGGCCTGCTGGCAGCGATGGTCGGGCCTGCCGCGTCTTAACCCATCGAATAAGCCCTCGCCCAGCTCGACAGCACGACCCAGTTGGCGACAGCATCAACATACATTTCACGGCAAAAGCCCAAATCACGACGCGGCCGCGGTTTCTCGCTCCTGACGTCTTTCCTGTTTATTTTGGATGGGGGGTGAAAGCGAGGCGGTTAGGGAATAACGAGCTATATGTACGCCAGACCACGTCTCGCGTAACAGGCTTCGCGATATCTCACGAAACACTGTTACGCTGCGACGCGCCTGGCGCACATATAGCCAGGCCTGCGGCTCTGACACCCGACACGAGTTAAGGAGAGGGTATAGGGGAATAGGGTCTTCCGGGCCCAAATTTTGACATGCTTAAACCATTTGTCGGGGTCTTCTTACTCTAAAATAAGGGACATGAAACTTCTGCTGTTCGGTAACGGTTTTCATTGGCTGAGCGATAAGCGAAGCCCATTACTCCATTGATACACTGCAAAAAATTAGAGTCTGATACGGAACGATACAGCGTTCCTGTAGATGCCGCTCTGAGCCACTGCACCTAGGGTTACAGAACGCGGAGTACAGTGTTGCTGCAGCACCGGAAAGCCCAGGTTTTACACGGTACAGTGTACGAAGACGGCTCCACTGTAGACAGTTTTGTTCGCTTTCGCCTGTACAGTGGTCCTGTACATTGCTCCCTCTACCAAATTTTAACCATTGAAACTACAGCGATGCTGTTATTCGAATAACAGACGTTTCTGGAAAATGAATTAGCCGCAGTACCTGTCAAAATTTTTTGCAGTGGAGGTCCACTTTAAAAACAGTTGGACTTGTAGATATTGGAAAATTCACTCTAGATTCACAAACAACTGTTATGGCTGATCATGTTCTTCAGGTCATGTTTCAGCCGTTTAGAGGCCAGTGGGTGCAGAGCCTTGGATGTTTTTTGACAAAAAGTAATGCCAAAGCTGACGTCCTTTCCAAAGTTGTCCTTGAAGCAACAGCTCTGGGTGAGGAAGCAACTTTGAGGGTGGATGCTGTTGTCATGGATGGGGCCTCTTGGAATCGCAGCATGTTTGACAAGTTTGGAGTTGGAGAGGAGTCATCCAGTTGTGAGCACCCTGTAGACGAAAACAGAAAGCTTTGGTTTATATCTGAGTTTTGCCATCTCATAAAGTGTGCCAGAAATTGTATCTGACGTAGAAAAGCCAGCAGACAAATCGTCTTACGCCGCGTGTCACTGCAATTGGAGGGAGCACTGACAGCCGTTGACACATTCTCGTGATTCGTTTCCATTTCCTTCATTGAAGGGAAACCCACAAGCGGCTCGTCTGTGGGTAGGCGCCTCCTTGCCTGCAGGTCGATTATCTTCCCGTTCCCAGTGTCATGGGCCACCACGCGTGAGAAATAAAGATGTGCATGTTTTAGGGGCATCTCACGACGAATCCTCTCCTGCTCGGCGAACTGCCTTGCCTGGGCGCTAGGATTAGCGTTCCGTGTCACGTGGTCCAGCAGACAGAAGTTTGTCCGGAACGGACAGTTGGTTTCCAAGTAGCAGGCCTTCCTCCGTCTTGGTGCCGTCTCCCCTCCCCCACCTGCAGATGCGGTGAGATATCCAGCTTGACACAGGCTCTTCATCATGGAGCGGGCGCCACCAGGTGACAGACGAGTCTTGGACGTGAAGGTCATGGATGCAGCGCACTGGCAACGAGGACATACCAGTGTGTCATCTTCTATGGGGACATTTCGGGCGCATCCCTTGCAAAGTCCATGGCCGCAGGCGAGGTACACGAAGCACAAGTTGCTGACTGTCCTCATGTAGCCTCTGTCAGCCTCACGCCGCTTCCTGGAGGGCATGCCATCCTCTTTGAGACTGGCAATCAATTCCCAATGCTGCTGCACGATAACCACGTCAGAAACATGGCATACGATGCACCCGGACTCGGCGAGAGCGTCCCGGAAGGCTTCTTGTACTTCTGATTCGGCGCCATCATTCGCGGCTGCAGCGTCCGCCTCAAAGTCCGGGTCCAGTAAGGCTGGGTGAGAGTGGACCGCGTCGGCGGTGACATACGAGAAACACACAATAGTGGAAATCGCACTTGCGATGTGACCTTGCCCCACCCTTGGCCCACCAAAGAGTGCCGCCCCG